TTTAATAAAATATATAAAATAAGAAAATAAATATAATAACTAGTAATTAGTAAAGTTTCTTAATAATATATTAGAGTTTATAATAAATTATAAAAAGTAATTAAAAATAATTTTTATAAAGAAATATAATTAATTAATAAGAAATATTAAATAATAATTATAAAATAATAATTATTTTTATTAAATATATTTATAGGAAATATTATTATACTTTTATAATTATATACTAATATAAATTATAATATTTGTTTTTCTTAAAATTAAAAAAGTATTTTCTTTATATTAATTATTATAAAATATATATAGCTATAGTAATTATTCTAATTATTATAATATTATATAAAAGAATATTATATAACTTATTATTAATACTAGTATAATATTTCTTATATTAATTAAAAGTATTTTATTATTATAGCTAGTATATTATTAAATTTATAAAAAGCTAAAAAAGAATTATATTTTTATTAATAAGAACTTTAAAAACTTCTTTAATATTATTAGTAATCCCGAAAACTATTTAAAAATTCAAATATTATTAAATATTTAAAAAAACGAAATACTTTTATAATATATATTAAAAAAACTAATATATATAAGTTTATTTTTAAAATAATTAAGCTAATAAATAATAAAGAAAATAATAATAATAATATTCTTATTCGAGTTAAGTACTATTTTAGTAAATTATTTAAAAAGAATAATAAATAAGCCTAAAAGCTATATTTTGCTTTTTCTAATAATAATAATTATAATTAAATTAGAAATAAGAATAAAAACTCAAAAAAGAAAATTAAGATTAATACTATTACTAATAATAATTAAAATATTCTTATAATTATATTATTAAAAACTTTAAAAATTATATTTAAAATAAGAAGCCTAGCCTTATAATAATAATAATATATTATAAAAAAGCTATTTGAACTAAAGTAAATATAATTCTTTTTATAATTATATTACTTAATAATATAAAGCTATTAATTGAAATTATTTAAGGTAAGTATAATTTAAAAAAAAGTAATATTAGTAATATTATTATAAGAATTAAAAAGGCCTATTAATTTAATATTATTAATTATATAATAAGAGTTTTCTATAGTAATAATATTAAAATTCTTTTTATTTATAACTATATATTAATTACTTTTAATAATACTAAAATAAAGGAAATTCGGAAATAGTTTTTAATATAAATAAATAAGAAATACCTGTAAATTTAATTAAATTTAACTAGTTTTAAAGATTATATTAGTTTTTAATACTTATTATTTAAAGCCAGTAATAATATACTTATATTAATACTAAAGGCAAAGAAAAATAAAAAAAAGATATTTATAAAAAAGGCTATAAAAAATAAGATTACTAAATCTATTAAAAAGCAATAATTTAAAGTCTTATTATAATAGAAATATAAAACAAATAGTATTATAAAATAAAGAATATACTTTTATAATATAGAATTATAATATATAAAAACTAGAATTAAAGAATAAAGATTAGTTTATTTTTAAGAACTAAAAAAAAAAAAGTAATATAAAAGAATTACAAATTATATAAATATCCGGAGGTTATATAATAGAACTATATAACTAATAAAAGTAAAATTCTTATTATATTAGTAGAATAAGCCTGTTTTAATAATAGTAAATTCAAGAATAAATTAAGTAATAAGAAAAAGAACTAGCTTATAGGCTATATTTTTAGTAATAATAATTTATTTAAGAAGAAATTAGTAAATAAGAATTAAAGTAATAAAAGGCAAAAATAAATGAACTTTATATAACTTTTCTTATATAATATTTTTCTTTTCTTTTCTTTATTCTTTTTTTATTTTATTTTATATTTATATTTAATTACTATTTCTTTTTAAGTAATAAAAAGTAAATAATAATAAGAATATTATTTCTTTCTTTTTATAATAGGTATTTATTATATTATTTAATATAATTAGTTAATATAATTATCTTATAATTAGTTTCTGTTTAGAAAGGCTCTTAATTAATTAACTTCTATATATATTAACGTTTTACTATAATATAATAATTTAATAATTAAGTTAAGAAAAAGGAATTTAGGTTATAAATAAAAGCAAGAAATAAGTTTATAGAAAATAGTAATAAAAAAATAAGGCCTTTATATTTTATTATTATAGGTAATTACTTATAATATAATATAAATCTATTTTTATAAGAGTTTAGTTCGGGATTTTTAGGTATCTATTTAGGCTTTCTAGAGATTATTATTAAGGCTTAATAAAAATAAAATAATAAGATTTCTAGTTTTATTTAGCTCGATTAAAGATTAATTATATAAATAAGTAATAGGTACTATTTAGAAACTATTCAGGAACTGCTTAAGTAAGCTAGATAAGGAGAGAATAAGTCGAGGTAATTAGTACCTGAGTAGAAGTAGTAAGCTTATTAATTAATTTTGAGATAACGAAAAAAAAAAATTATACTTAATTACTATTATAAAATTACTTTGTATTCGAGTAATACAAACCCTTTTAATCTAAGTTAGCAGACATTGCCGAGAATGCTTTTACTAAGCGACTACCGATTTTGCTTATAGTATTAATTCGGAAAGCATATTATAGTATCTTAGCAAACCTTTTCTTTAACTTACTAGACGGCAATTAGGGTTTTAAATTATAAAAACCCTGAGTTTTTGACTTGTTGGTAGCCCCGAGCTGGTATAGCAGCCGCTATAACAAGTGAAACGGAGTTAAAGAGAGAGGAATAACGTATTGCATACCGGGCAGTTATTTGGGATGAGTAATTTAGGTACCTAGGGATATTTTATTGGAAGGCCTTTCTATTAGATGCTTTCAAAATAAGCAAGAGTATATAGAGCAAATGATAGTAAAATTGTTCTGTCTAAGATTCTAAGAAATAAGACTGAGAAGCCAAACACGTGATTTCCAGCAAACACTTTCCACAACCAGTATGATATACTATTTCTTTACCCAAGACCCTCTCGCACTCTACATTTTTCGAGATTGGTCCTCGTAATAAAGGTCTGCCTCCTAGCCGCTGCGGGATCCACGAGGCAACGGTGGTTTCAGAGGGCTGTTTCTTTTGACGAGCATCCTGATCATATGTGTCGTTGTTGTGATCAGATGGAGGCCCCGCTAATGTTGAAGGCTAGAAGCTACCATCCAAGGGCTAAAGAATGAGAAAGAAGATTTGCAGGACGACGTAGTTATTACAGATCACGGATCTATGACGGAAGCGGATATGAAAGGCCCCAGTAAGAAGAGAAGAAGACGAGAGGCGTAGGAGGACCCTTACTGCTTGCTTTGAGCCGCTATGTCTTGGTTACACGGTCCGTTTTGCGTGGCTATTTGGCTTTGTCAGATGCAGAGCTGTAAACTGATCAATTGATGAGTCTAGGAGAGGAGAGTGAGGATATACATATAAGGGGGCCTGAAACTAAACATGAAGCAAGCAATGAAACAAGGACGTGATTTGCCACCAACTGACATCACTACTCCCTCCAAGTTCCCACTATTCTCATTTGTAATGGAAATTGTCACGGTGAACTCGGACAAAAGTTCTGTCTCGTCCTGCATGTGAAGGCTCGAAGGACAAAATTCGCATCTCGTTGTGAGAAGCGTCGAGGGGCTTATATTGAATGCGATGCAAAGGAGAGGCCGAGGCTAAATCCAGTTTGGACAGTGTCGTGCTGCAGCCAGTGGTCGGGCCTACTACAGATTTCAATACGGGCAAAAGAATCGAACGTCTGCCTCCAAGAACTGACAGTACATGTCATTTCCGTTCCCGAGGATCTTCGATATCTTCCTCAACAACTCCATGGCCTGTTAAGCGGATGTGATCCCTTCACGCAAAGAGGTCAGTATTGATCCGGATTCATGGCGGGTGTTGCGGAGAAACATACTTAGGGAGCAAAAGATCCGGCAAGAAGAAACACACCACGATCGCCAGGACAGACGCACCCAGTGCGGTGTAAACGAAATTTCTCGTCACGTCGGTGTACTGTCGAAGACAATTGTCAAAACCTTGACTCCAGTCCCATGAGCTCGAAACAGGGAGCATTGATGACTCACCGCAAGGTTGACTGCATCCCGTTCCGGGGTCCCCCAACCCGGTGGCACACCGGTGATCGAATTGTACAACTGATCTACCAGCTCCTGAGTCGCATTTCTTTCGAGATATGCCCACAGCGAAGGTCGCATTGTATTCGTATAGACTCCTCCCGCAATGGCGGAGCCCACGCTGAAGCCAAGGAATGACATGGAGAGAGTCAGAGACAGAACCTGCGAGATCTGAGTGTGTGGGACGACGACCTGTGGCGGCACTAGCAAGGATGTCTGCATGATGCCGCTTCCTACGCCCTGGATGATTTGCTGGGTAAACAGCTCGCCGATGCTGTTCTGCTGCCCCCGCAGTCGGAGCATAAGTCCGTACCCGATCAGCCGGATCACCGCGCCGCCCATGGCCAGCCATTTGTATCGGCCGGTGACGAGCATGATCCAACCGGCGACGATGCCCATCAGGCATTGGGTCACGCCGTCGGTGAAGCTTGAAAGGTGGGTCAGCGCCTCTTTCATATGAAGATCTAGGGCAAAACGTTGCGTACATGTAGAAAGTCGCGTCTCGAGCGGACATGTTGTGGCTGACCGTTGCCCATGCATACAGATACGTGTGCGTAGCGCTGTAGCCGAGCGAATCGACAGCGATCAGCAGCATCGATAACACAATGGTTGCATTCTTGAAGTAAAATACCGGCAGCATGGGGTTGACCGCTACGAATTTCTCATAGACTGGCAATGCCAGCAGGATAAGGAAGCCGACAACGATAAGGGCACCGATCCACGGCGTGCGCCAACCGTCTGGCAGAGACCCGGCGATGGTCATGGGAAGAAGCAGCAGGGCGAACCCAGCCACGAAAAGGGCAACGCCGCCTAGGTCAATGCCGGAGCAAAAGCTCCGGATCGTAGTTTCCTTGGACGGAACAAGCCCGGCCTTCTTAGCCTTATGCTGGTAATAGATGAGGGTGCCGATAATGACGCAGGCTCCGAGGGGCATGAGGATCGCGAACATGCCAACTCCCCAGCGCCAGCCAATCCCCTTGACGACGCTGTCGATAATGAAACCAGACACCCAGGGTGTGATGAGGTAAGGGAAGTAAGAGACGCCGATGGCCAAACTGTTACTTTGTTACCTCTCGCAATACTGGAGCTCCTCCCGTTTTGTCTACATACCCCCTCTGCCGAGGACTAGTGATGTCGGAAATGATGACAGTCGTCATCACGTTAGTGCCGGACTGCCCAACCCTGTAAAGTATACTGCCAGCGGTGTACGAGCCTATGCCTGGAGCCGAAGCCATCAAGATATATGAGATGGTGTAAAGCGAGACAGTGACCGCTAAGGTGTAGCCTCGGCCGACGATGTTGGAGAGCTTGGCGATCGGGAGCTTCACAACGGCGAAGACGATTATGCCGGCCGTAAACAACGACCCAAGTGCAGATAGGGCGCTAAACTCCGACATGGAGTAGTTGCTGTAGACATAGACAGTCGTGTTATCAAGCTCACTAGTGAATATTAGTTTCATGCCCGGCCTATGGGTAAGGGGTGCGATGTCTTAGAAGTACAAGAGGATCATGATTATTGCCAGGCTACCTCAGAAGGTTGCAAGTTAGCCCAGGGGGTGATTCCGACTTCTTCTGGGCAAGTTCTCACCCAACTATGATCAGCATGCGTCCTGTTTTGCCCCAAACGGTCTGGGAAGCTTCTATAAGCGACACCCCCCTCTCGGTAGGCTTCTCCGTCATGGTTGCCTGCGCCATTTCTTCGGCATTAATTGGTAGAAGAAAAGTTTCGCGTTAACAGGGACGATCGTGACCTCCTATTTTCGTTTGTATACGGGGACATTGGACTTTAATACACCATCTGCCACGGTGCCTCCGGCGCATTTCTGGATTTCTCAGAGACGCCTGGTCAGAGAGCCTACGGTCTTAGTGTCAACTTGCGTGGTGATAGTTTCGCCGCACCATACGAGCAACAATATTCAATTGGTGGGCTCTCTCACCGCAAAACGGGGATTTAGGGACGCCTTCAAGGCAGCCATGCGGGTGCCCGCGTGGTGCCATCGGTAGTGGAAGGATGCTGGGGCAGGCTCCTCCTATTGGCCGCACCCGACAGGTAAAATCCGAGCAGGTGACGGCATGGTGCGATCTTGCATGGTTTGGGCTTAGCCACCGACAGCACCCCTGTGTGTGCTGAGCGCCCAGTTAACGTGGTAACGAGTGACTTGCACGCTTTCCTATTGGAAGAAAGTCGAACGACTTTCTTCGAATTTTACCTTAACCTGCCTTATCCTCCACTCGCGCTGCCCAACCCAAACCCCAAAGTTTGGCGTATTCCGTCACCGAGCCTGATGGATAAGCTTGCGGCCTTGGCCGTCGAAGACTCTTCGCGTCCGCCTCGGTGGGCCCGCACAGCGTGGATTGCATGCACTGCTGTCGGGCTTGTTGCACTCCATCGTCTTTCGATCTTGAGAGACAGCCTGCTCGACGATGCCACAGTGACAGCCACTTCGCTCGAATCTCCCACCTCGACCCAGCCTTACGGGCGATTTCCGCTGCCCAACGATCCTTACAATTTTATTCCTTGCACAGAAGCTCTTTCTCTCCCTCCACTACATGACAGCGACCCGAAGGGAACGTGGGCCGCGCTCTTCGACCCCAACCCTAAGCATTGGAGCTGGGGAGGCTCCGCACCGGATCCGGATCATGTTAGCGACGACCCATACGCAGGGCGTGGAATATATCTGTGTGGCTACTTAGATCTGCCGCTTGACTACCTTAACGACTCGGACGCACGGATCGTCCGTCTCGCTGTAGCCAAGTTCCAGGTGTCGGGTCTTGCTCGCATCGACTCCCCGGCTGGTAGCCGTTCCACTCTCGCGGGTGCTAAGAGTGAACGCACTATCGTCATTGAGCCCGGCGGCCCCGGAGTCAGCGGCACATTACAGGTGTGGGGTGCCGCCGAAGCGGTGACCAAGCGTTTCAGTGATGGCCGGTTTGATGTCCTCGGATGGGACCCCCGTGGTGTGAATGCCTCTCTTCCTTCAGCGGCGTGCTTCCCTCATAATGCAGACCGCGACCGCTGGTCACTACTGAGAGGCCAGTATCGAGAAACCTCAGAGCAGGAAAGACAGCTCGAAATCGCCGACGCCATGAACAGCGCCACCTTCTATGCTTGCCGACAACGACTCGGCGATTTTGGTCGGTTTGTCAGCACCGCCTCGGTTGCACGCGACCTAGAAGAGATACGGAAAGCATTGGATGAGGAGCAGTTGACGGCCTACTTTGTCAGCTACGGTACCGGCATCGGCCAGACATATGCCAACATCTTCCCCAACCGTGTTGGTCGCATGATCCTAGACGGGCCTGAATATGTGAAGGATCATCGGCAACTCGGTGGCTGGGGCTGGACATCGCTCGACAACGTTACCGACGGTTGGCGTGATGGTTTCCTAGGCGAGTGCGTTAAAGCTGGTCGTCAGAACTGCGCATTGGCGAGACCTTCGGAAACACTCGAAGAGCTGGAGGCCCGCATGGGCACGCTTCTTGAGTCGATCCTCGCTCGGCCAGCCCCGGGTTACACAGAATCGAATGGTCCGTCCCTCGTTACGTATCCGGGACTGGTTCTTGCGATTTACATATCTCTGTACGATCCGACGACATGGCCAGCCACCGCGCAGATGCTATATGAACTTGAGGCAGGTAACTCTACACTCGCCGCGACCTCTCTCGACCGACAATGGCAGTACAAGCCGTCGTTGTCATGTCCCGCCGAGAAGCATTCCTCCGATGAGCTCATTTCCCTAGTGATCTGTGCTGATGCCTACGATGCACCGGAAGAAGGGCTTGCTTGGTGGGATCAGTTGTGGGCCAACATGACAGATCGAAGCTGGATCTCTGGCAATTCTCGGTTTCTCAACGTGTTGCCTTGCCGCCACTTCACGACGTACTGGTCTAGCGCAGCCGAAGTTTATCGCGGCGATCTCAACCATTCATTAAGAAATCCAGTCCTCCTCATTGCATCAACATATGATCCTGCAACGCCTTTGCGCAACGGGAGGAGGCTGCTTGAGGAGATGGGTCAAAATGCGAGAATGGTTGTTCATCACGGATACGGCCATACATCGAGGGTCCATCCTTCGAGCTGCACGGATTCCGTCGGAAGGGCCTACATATTGAATGGAACGCTTCCGGAGGAGCGGGAAACAAATTGCTATGCAGACGAGAAGCCCTATCGAATGTGATGGACTTGTTCAGGTTCAGGAGAATAAGGGGTTTGATGAACCTGCGACGGTTCAAGGGCACGAACGAGGTCAAATGCGACTTGGGTAAAATGATTGTTATTGGAGAGAAAGAGATTCGTAAAGAAAACTCTGACTTAAGCTATATACGCAATATTCATAAAGTGAGGCAATTCACAAAGTATGAAAGTCATATGATCCCCCCTCACAGAACAGCAGAGGAGTTGTATGAAGGACAGAACACTTGGATTCAACGACGCTGAACCCCTCCATAAGCAACCCAGCTACCTGATCAACCCAACAATCTGTATAAGAGCATCACCCAGGCTTATCCAAACTTTTCACAGAAGTCTCAGGCCAGATCAGGCTGAACGACGAATGCATCTCGCTCGCCGATATAGCTTGTAACGCCGATGTAGTCTGCGATAAGGGTGTGTCAGTTGCTTCCTGGTTGTTCGGTTGCGCGGTATCTAACCTCCATAGTGATAAGCCGGGCATGAGCCCTGCTTCTGTTCATCCGAAGCAGCTGCGATTCCGGAGCCGACCTCCTCGCCAGAGATCCAACTTCCATGCTCACGGCAGAAGTAGCCCCGACCGCAAGGACATTTGAGCGCACCCCACTGATCGTATTCCTGCGACCAAGTATCATGATCGTCCTTCACGGCGGGATTGGGCCCCGGACGGGGTCGAACTTGGAGATCGGGGAATATCTTATGGAGATTGTCCCGGTTCACGTGACACTGGGCATTCCCGCACTTTGGATTTTGTTAGTCTTAATTCATAGCGAATACGCAGGGAGGCCGACACCTACAGGGAGCGGACTCGGCTGCGGGGCCGGCTGTGGGTCCGGCTGCGGGGCCGGTTCAGAGCTTGGATTGTAGGCCATCTTCTAGCTGGAGGTACCGAGTGTTATTCTGGGGCGTAGATATGATTGCGACCGCATGTAAGTTCTGGCCACCAGAGGACGCATGGGTGTCTCGCTCGGTGTCAGTGTTGGATGTTATATAGATTCACCATGACCAGCCGAATCCCGCGCCAGGCCTGTCAATCTCCTTGCTCCCAAAGTCTTCACACCCCCACCCACCCATCTTCGGTGATACAGCGAATTACACGTCTCGATTCTAGCACCTTGCATCAAGCCGTGGCAGCCCAACGTTTCCACAACGCCCGGTTGATATGGGATACTCAAGCTGTGTGACACATCGCAGCTGTCAACCAGACACTGGGAGACAGGGAGCCATTCATTCCAAGCCCCAGTTGGGAGATCCAGGGCTTCAGGCCGCAAGTTTGCGAAATCCGCTCGGTATGGAATCATGATACTAGAAAGCCTCAAGAAAGGGAAAGAAAGAGAAGAAAAAATATAGCGATGGACGTGTTCACAGACGACTGGAGGCAAGGACAAGACAAAAAAAAAAGTCCTTCCGAGTCATTTGCAGCACGGGCTCATAAGAGTTGGAGAACTGCCCGGCGTAGTCTGACACACAAGCCTTTGCGCAAGGCATACATGTGAACTCGGCACTCTTTCAGGTGATCTCGCTCTTCAGGGGGTGCTGGAACCATGGCCGACATAGAGGCTGTCCACTCCCTCCGAGGCAACGATGCCGCATGCTGGCAGGAAGCTGTTCAGGTGGGTTGAAAAAAACTCGACTCGCCCAAAGAGACCTACAAGGCACTAATGGTATCTCGTTTCATTAGTTATATAACGTAAAGCAGAAGAAGGGCTCCTCTAGCAGGAAGTATATCCATCTCAGCACCACGGACAATAGTGAACATGGCACAAAGGACCACGCTCAGGAGCACGCTCGTGAACTTATGGTCACCGCCATACGTTCTTATCAGATGCTCAAGAAGAAGCGTGGCCCATTTGCCGTCACTCTAATCCGGATATGCAACAACTTACGCCAGTATTCCCATGCTGTCAACGTGCTTGTCCAGTGTGACCCTACCATTGCAGCTCTGGTTTGGGGATCTGTGCGCCTTCTACTACAGGTATTACTCAGTAACGCTGCATGACAAGGCCGTTGCTAATGTTTCAGATGGGAGAGGAAGAAGAGCGGTCTTCTCGAATAGCCGGCGAAGGTATACTAGAGATCATTCGCCATGCAGGCCGTTGGGAACAAGTATCAGCCATCTCGGATCTCTTAAACTCGGCTCGTCTTCGAAAGGCACTCGTGGCCCTGTACGTGACAGTCCTCGATTTTTTGCTGTCGTCTACAGAGTGGCTGAGTCGAGGCGCCCTTGGTAGGAAGCTTCATTCATAGCGGTGGTGGATGGTTCAAGAACTTCAGCTAAACTGTATTCGGCTACAGAACGACTAGGGATTTCTATCCTCAATTCGAAAGGGGGCAAATTCGAAGGGAAACTGAGGGAGATGAGAAATGCATCAGAGCTCATAGACAAAGAGCTGCAAACTCAAGGTAACACAGCTATGCATATTGCCATTGAGGGGAGGGAAATGCTGACCCATGTCTTACAAACCATGCAGCTACCTACAAAGGTGTGTAGCCCCTCACATCACGAGGCTGCCACTTGGGAATCATGCGTATTTATCCACTAGTTAGGTCTCGGCTCACTTGGCGAAATCACATCAGACGTCCATATCGTCATGGACAAGATCGACAGAATCCTGGAGCAGGTCCAACATCTTTCAGGTAAGTCAACAGTGAGAAATGACCCATGATAGGTATGTAGATAGACTCGCGGAAACGACTAACCCCCTGGGCCACTCATGGGTGCAGATTACACATTGCAGCTGCAGCTCGACAACGAGCTGCTGGCTTTGACGCACGAAAATACCAGATCGGCCAGAGCCGTCCTCTCCGGTACGTATTTTCCCAAGTTTTCCCACACCAGCAAACCTCCTCGTCAAATATCGTTTTCTTCCCCTCTTGCCAGGCGAGAGCTTGAGCTAACAGGCCAGAACTGAAATCGCTTCCGCTATCGATAACACACGCAATCCTCGATCAAATGCAAGGTACCTAGCGGCAGTTCTCCTTGTTCCACCCTGCGCCGTGATTCTTGCTCGCTGATTCGGTATAAACTAGGTACATTGGACCTGACTAGAATAAAGCAATGGCTTGTTTTGAGTGCCGTGGGAAAATCACCACCGGTGCCTCACGCGGATGGCACTTGCTATTGGATCTTGCAACACCCCTCTTTTTTGAAATGGACTCACTCTGAGAAAACCCTGGTCCTTTGGGTTCAGGGGTATCAAGGTTGCGGAAAGTCGGTCATGGCTGGGTATCTCCAAGAGCACTTGACAGTCGAAGGTTCCAATACCTTATTTTACCGATTCCAGCGCTCTGCTTCGACTACGCAATCCACTCCGACAAGCTTTGCAAGTTCTCTTATTTCCCAACTGCTCGAGAAGTCGACAGGGTTATCCCCAGGTACCGGTGCTTATCATCAGCTTCAAAATTTCGCAACACAATGTCCTCTTGGCCCCCAGCAATGCGCCTTCAAGATGGTATGGGCCGTTGCGGCCTCTCTGTTGAAGATGTGCGGATCACGATTCAACCTCATTATCGATGCAATGGATGAGTGCTTGTTCGACGGCCCCTCCCTACCGGGAATATCTGCTTTTCTCGACGCTCTGTTCGGATCGATACGAGAAACCCGAAGCAAGGTTCTGATATTCACGCGGCCTGAGCCCATGTTCGTCACTGCCATGCAGTCCAGTCTGTCGATATTTATGGCCGAGGACCTTCTTTTGCCCGACGTCATGACGTTTGCGAGGAGAGAATACGAGCAGCTTGGACTCCCAGACTCCGAAATGGATCAGGTTTTGGAGCTTGTCCACTCCTCTTCCCACGGGTCCTTTCGCTGGGCTGAATTGTTTCTACATCACCTTGGACAGTCCCTGCAGATGGCGGACCTCCGGACCAGGATGCGAACCTTGCCGCCTTCAATCAGCGAGCTTTACCGGCAATCGCTGCTAAGTGGTGTTCAGAGACTCAGCCAAGACGAGCTCGAGTGTCGCAAGGCTCTCTTATTGGCCGTCTTCCAAGCTCAGCGACCGTTGAGGACGACTGAAATTGCTGACGCATTCTCGCTACGGCCTGAAAGGGCAGAGATCATCATCTCTGGCCTGTGCAAGCCGTTGGCCAGTACCTTCGGTGGCTTCTTCCACTTGTCACATCCATCTGTTCGGGAATTCTTCGAGCTCTACCACCAGGCGGGTGATAGCACGCTTGGAATCTCATTCTCAGATTCCCATGGCCTGCTCGCAGAGAAGTGTCTGTCATGCCTTTTGGAAGAGAGATACGCAGACCTGCATCGCATCGGAAGCTACTTGATAGCGAATTACGACGAGAATGCCCGCGTAGATACCGACGCACAACTTTGCGAGGGCAGCTTCTACGATTATGCCTTCAGATTCTGGGATTGCCACTTGGTCCGGACCAAGGTGCCCAGCAAGAACCTACTCCGGCAGGCCAACAAATTCATCCTGAGCTTGCAGTTCGCATACTGGTCTGAACGCTCTCGGCAAGACTGCGGACAGCTGGTTCGGGTGATTGTAGCCTTTGGTTCCCTCGTACCATGGCACAAGGGGCTTTTGAGGGAAGACCAGGCGCTCTTGGAGTTGGACAAGTACTTTGAGCGAGCCTACTCCCTCCTTGGTGCTGCATTCGATTCCAGCAAAATGGACAAGGTTCTTCCGTGGTTGGCCCGTATGACCATGGGCGACTTCTACTTCATCAAATTTCTTCCTGACAAGGCAACATCGACGCGCCAACAAGTTCTGGCAGGACTTCAAGGCCTCCTTGGACCGCGGCATCGCCTCACGCTTTGTGCCAAATCAGGCGTGGCATACGTCCGCCTCTATGCGGGCAAAATGCGCGCGTCCCACAGAATGTATAACGAGGTGGTCGACATCCAGCGGGAGGTGCTTGGGGAGCGTTCCTCACAGTTCCTCGAGACTCTCCTTTACAAGGGTCAGAGCGAATACTATATGGCAGATTTTGTGGCAGCCGTCATGACCTGGACAAAGCTTTCGGCTGAGTGCCTAGGACTTCTGGGCCCAGATAGTTGGCTATACCTTGCGACGCAATGGTGGTATGCCCAAGGTGTGGCAAACATTGGCCAATTGGACCTTGGGCTTCGGATCTTCCAGTCTCTCGTCCAGAAGAGACACGAGCTCTTCGGCCCAGGCGACAGCTTTGCCAATGTGGCCGAGGCAAGTGTCGGAGAAAGCCAATTGCTTCTTGGCCGACATGAGGAATCGATTGCCACGATACGGGATGTCCTCGTGTGGCGGCGCGAGGTCTATCCGCCCTCCCACATCATGCGACTTGACATCGAGATTACGCTTGCGATTGCCTATCAGGCCGCAGGCATGAAACAAGCTGCACTGGCCATGGTTGAAGAGATAGAAGAGGGAGCGGGTAACCTCCATTCCCGGTTTGAGACGTACTGCCAAGTTGCTCATCTGAAGGGCCTCCTTCTGGCCCAGGAGGGGTCCATCGACGAGGCTATCCATCTCTTGCAGAACACGGTAACGCAGGCCGAGGAAGACCAAAATAACAGAGCATTGTTGTGGATTCGCCTGGACCTTGCGACCTTGTTGAGGCGGCGGGATGCAGAGGGCGACAGAGACCAGGCCAGTGCCAATTTTGACAACACTGTCAAGGACATATCCGGCGACTACGATCCCGGATTCGAGGACGAGCCCGACCCACCGAGATTTCTGGCCGCAACGGAGAAGGCTCTGAGGTTAGTTAGAGCGAGGAAACACGCCGAGGCTCGTCGGGAACTCGACTCGGAACAACTTGACTGGCGCAGGCCAAGCGACTTCTGGCTGTGGGTGGGAGGCACGTTCTGTAAAGACCTCTTGCAGATTACCGACTCAGCTCTCGCAAGAGCAGGCTAGCTACGCTGAGGAGAGGTATGCGCTTGCTGAAGCGGTAGAGATGCCATCGGCGATTGTGGCGAGGCTGGTTGTATCATACGCGTGATAGACTCGCTGTGCCGTGCAACGGTTGACTAGGCTCCTTTGTTGGCTGTGCTCTCTGCTGGTAACGTAGGTGCCATCAATTCTGATTCTGGGACAAATCGTAGACCCATCGGCTCATTGCTAGTCATTCTAGTAGGAGGTTGGTTTCATTTGGGAGCAGCGGCAGCGCCAATAGATAGAAGAGTCGTAAGGGAAGCTCGCAGGGCGGCATCGTGGTCGGCTTGCGGATTGTTGTAGGAGTGTTGACAAGATACGTTTCGTGAGGGGTATGACTGTCTGGAGCCTGAATGTGGAGGAAAGTAGGAAGCTGGCAGACTTGATCTGTGCGATGATGGTGGCAAGGGCGGCGGCGAGGGCGAGGGCGAGTGCATGGCGGCTAGCTGGGGTTGGTTTGAGCCAATGGTATGGTTCGAAATGTAGCTGATATTGACAACCACCGTGCTTGTGGTTGGAGGGATTGTGGAAGAGGTGTTAAGTTTTGGGTTGGGAGAGCACGTTCTTTTGTACCCCTCCAGCGCTTCAGCCGTGACGGCCAGGGTAGCCCACCACCTCAGCCTAACGTTGTCAGGCTTTGGATTTCCTTGGGTCGCTATATTTCTTGTGAAGAGACTACATTATTGAGCGGCCTTCCTAATCGCAGCTGGATCATCTAGTGATCAATTCGTCTGAATCAAAATCACATTCAATCTATCCAATTCAAGTTATCCAAAAAGCAGGCTCAACTCTCAGCCTAGTTGTCACGAGGGAACCAGTCCACCATGCCCAGGCCTCAGCACACGCAAACCCGCTGGTACCTGGTCGCGTGGAAAGAAAGGAAGAGCAAGACAGCTCCCCTGCCAGACCCTTGACACCCATAACCTTCCGGACAGCCGTCTTGACTGCCGAGCGAGCAGCTCGAGAAGAGTGATCGGAGTAACAGTGCGTTCTAATTCACGATCATCGACCTGGATCCTTCTACCAGCAGTCCTCCGTAATGGATCCGAGGCTTCAAGCCACCCAATAACGTTATTAATGTCGCGAACTACCCACGGATGACGTTTGACCTCCCTTAGTTTTATGCGTTCCGCAGGATCCTTAATCAGCATCCTGCGAATAAGTACGAGACCCCGAAATCCGCGATCTTCACACAATAATCTTTGGTCCACAATAGATTGGCAGGCTTGATATCTCGGTGGATAATCCCTTCATAGTGCAGATACTCTAATCCCAGTACGGTGTCTCTAAATGCCGATCTCGCCAGGTTAATCGTGAAGCAGGGAATATAGGAAAATTCATCTTCGAAGACGTAATGCTTCATTATATTATTACCAGATGGCTTGTTTGATGATATTATGTCGGTTAAACTCGGCGACCGTTCTCGAAAGGGGATATTTTTGAGATAAATGCCATATATCGTTCGGTCGAGCGCGTATGACGAACCGCGGTTCGACGAGATGGATTGCAATAGGCTAGCTATCTTATCTTTGTCGTCGCTATTGAGGGGGGAATATTGACCACTGTCGGAAGTGGCGTATTGGCAGGAGAGCCCGTCCGCAAGGGTGCTTGCGATATTGCTCTTAAAGGACCCTGAGAGCTAGGATCGGACTGGATTATTGACCTATCGAGTCGAGGCAGGTTCTGCGCGGAATTATGCGTCGTTTTCCGTGGCAGTAATGCTATTCCAGCTTTCTTCTCGTCGATACTATGGTCCGGGCTCTAGTAACCGGCATTTCCGTATACTAGTTGCAGTTAAGAGATCCCTGCTCGTTATACCTCCTTCCGCTAGTAATGCCGCTAGAGCGTCTTAAAAAATATCTGCAAATCCCCTCTCTTGCGCTATACTACCTTTCCCAGCTCAGTATATTCCAGGACCAGATATATCTTCTGTAACTTCGGGTTGTTAATAATCTCAAGCAAACCGATAATATTCGGATAATATACTTTCTTGAGGATAATAATCTCTCTCTTGGTTTTCTTCTCTAGTAAGATAATAACCCTTCCAAGTTAATGCTTTTTGGAAAAGCATAATATAATTTTAATTATAATATAGTAGTTCTCTCTCTCTCGACTCTATACTAGCTTAACCTTACTATAAGTGCCTCTGCCTATCTCGTTAATAATCTCGTATTAATTTATTAGCTTTCGTCTACTAAGGGAATCTTACTTAACCTTGGCTTTATAGGTCCGAGTTTGCTAATATTAGTATTAGCTAGTATATTAAAGAAATACTCAAATTACTTAAGTTACTTAAATATATTATTACGGTTATTATAATATACGGTACTAGTAAGGGTTAGACTAGAACTAGCTAGGTATATGAAGTCGAAGTCGGGAAGCAAAGTCGAGGTCACGTGATACGACACGTGGGCCCGTATGCAGTACGCAATTATTTAGATCCGAGACTTCTTCGAGATCCTCTTCTCTTCTTTAGCTTTGAATTATTAAAATAGAGATAGTCTAACCTTGCTTTTTAGGCCCTAGATCTTATACTTGTAATATAATTCAAAGCTTACCTATTTCTTAATTCTATAGAGGATTTAAATAATATTTATCTAATCGGTTTTCGATAAGTATAAATACTATATACTATAGCTATTCCTATACTAATTAATTAATATTAGAATAAAAGAAAGCCCTAAAATAACTAGGCAAGAAGCCTTAAACCGGCCAGGCAAGCAAATAGGCTAGTAATCTTATTATTAAAAAAGATCTATAAGAAAGCAAGTCCCGAAATAACTAGATAAGTTAGAAGAAGCTATAGTATAAGATACTATTAGTATATTACTAGAAGATAGACCAGAGCCTTTTATTAAGTCTTTTAAGAAGTCCGAATATCCCGTTAATACTTATAGTAAGAAAGAGATTCTTTTTAGAGAATAGAAAAAGAAAAGAAATCTATTTTATTAAAAATAGAGTTTTAAGTATTATTCTAGAACCTAGAAGCTTTATATAAAGAGATTATTAAACTAATTCTAAAGACCTATAATACTCTTACCTATAGTAAGAATTATTATAATTAGCTAAAAGAAATCAAATAAGCCTTATAAAAGAATAAAGCTATTATTAAGAAACTTATTATATAACTTGCAGGCTAGCTAATATTCGGTTTCCTTACTTTAGAAAGTAGATATTTAGTTAAACTTCCTAACTCTTTTATCTTTAAAGATATAATTAAGAATAATATTACTTTTAATAACTAGTTAATCTAAATTAAAAACAAGTTTTATAATAATTCTAATACTTACTAAATAAAGAACCTTAAAATTATCTATATTTCCGGTTATATAAATAGTTATATTCTTATATTAATCTCTTTTTACCTGAATTAGAATAGCTAATATATATACGAGACTATTAGAGAACTATATATCTATTTAAAAGAGCTATATAGTAACCCGAATAGGAAATATAATACTCGGCTAGTATTTAAAGAGCTATTAATAAAAAAGGGCCAAATCTTTTAGATATTTTATATTCTATTTCTAAGATATATAATAAACGGAAATATTAATTTATAGAACCTTAAAAATAACCTAAATAATAAGCTTACTTGAAAGTTATAAGAGGCTATAGCTATATATTATAATAACTCGGCTATTTATATTATAGAGTTTATATAATATTATATTATAAATAATTAGTAAATTTAAGCTTATTATAAAAGAAAAAACCAGGTATTTAAGAAAGCTAATAATAGTATAAATATATTAAGCTTAGGAAATATCCCTTATATAAAGCCCGTTTTTAAAACCCTAGTAATAGATAAGTCTATTATTTCGAAACCCGAATTCTCTAATCTCAAGTATTATAACTATAATAGATTTAGTTATATGTTTAGGAACTATTAAGAGCCCAAAATAGAGTATATAAAGTAAATCTTAGTAGCTAAGCTAGTAATATTTATTATAAATAAGGTATTCGAGAATACTAAATAGGGAAAAAATAATTTCTAAAGGAAGTTTTTTCTTTAGGGCTATATTATATTAATATAATAAAAGCTAATTTGAGCTAATTATTTAAAAATAATATATTTATATTTCCTTATATAGTTAGTAATAATAAATTAAGTATTAAAACTTCTTTTTTATTAATATTAGAATAAATAAATAAACTTTTATTAATTTCAAGTTTATAAGAATAATTAAATAATTCCTAGATATTAAGCCTATTTAACTAATATTATCTTATAATATAAGAGGATTTAATTATAAATAGGCTATATCTATTATTTACTATATTAAGTTTATATTTTTAATTAATAAACGGAAAGTTCTAGTACCTATATTAATTATAAGACTAGGCAAGTATAATATAATATTGAAATAATAATAATTTATAAGTATTAGTATTTTAATTAATTATAAAAATAAAAGATTAATCTGGCCAGATAATTAGCCTAGAAAAAAGAATTAGAATAAGGTTCTAATTATTACTTATAAGAACTTGAAACCTGAAAAAAATAACTAGTATTAAGAAAATATAAATAGAAGAAATAAAGCTATAGCTATAAATAAGTCCTAAAAACCTTAGATTATAAAAAAGAAATCCCTTAACTTTTTTTATAAGCCCGGCTTAGAAAGCCATATATAGTAAAAGAATTAAGCTTAATATTATAAAGAAATAAAAATAGCTTTAGGAAATATAGAGGCTATTTCTAAGCCAGAAATAGAAATATTAAACTTATATTATTTAAAGGAAAGCTATAAGTACTAGTTAAAGCTCTCGGTTAATATTACGGGTATTTTATTAGCTGCTTTCTAGATAAATCTATAAAAGAAGAAGAACTTTTTCTTTATAATATTATTTTTCGAGATTAATAAAGAACTAGAATTATAATAAGAGAATAAGTTTATTTCGGGTAAGTAATAGTCAGAAAAGACAAAGTTATAATAGCTAGTAAGAGTTTTACTAAAAGAATTTAGAGATTTCGCAAATATTTTCTTAAAGAAAATATTAAATATCTTATTTCCTTACTGGCTCTATAATTATAAAATCCAGATTAATAACTTTAAGGGCCCGGAAAGCCTAGAGTATTTATTACTTTATTAGTAATTAACTTATAAGCTATAAGAGATTAAGTATTTCCTTAAAAAGAACCTCTAATATAGCTTTATTAAGCCAAGCTAGTTTCTGTTTATATCTCTAATTCTTTTTATAAAAAAGGCTAATAGAATTCTATAATTCTATATTAATTATTATAAGCTAAATAACTTAACCCGAAAGAATTATTATTCTTTTTCTCTTATTTACAAGACTCTTATATAACTAGCTTAAGCTAAGGTTTATATAAAGCTAGATATTTGACAGATATTTTATTAAATTAGAATAAATCCAGAATTAGAAAAACTTATAATATTTTATATGAGATATAGGGCCTATAAATATAAAGTTCTTTAGAAAAGCCTAACTAATAGCTCTATTATATATTAGAGATATATAAATAATATTTTCTTTAATTATCTTAATATCTTTTATATAGCTTACCTAAATAATATCCTAATTTATTTAAATAATTTCTTTAAATATTATTATAATAAAATAATATTATAGTAGTAATAAAGAGCTTGAATTAAGCTAAAAGCTATATACCGGGCTAAAAGTACTAGCTATATACTAAGCTATATATAGTAATACTATATAACTAGTATTATATAATAAATATAAAAATTATATATAAAAGATTCTTTAGTAATTATAGGATACTAGCTTTCAAGTAAATATTAAGAAATTAGAGTTTAAGATTATTTATATAAAATATCTAGGCTTTATTATTTTTATTAAAGATATTAAAGTAAATTCAAATAAGATAGTAATTATTAAGAATTAGTAATTACTAATAATAATTAAGGAAAAATAGGGCTTTTTAGGCTTTTATAATTTTTATTAGTACTTTATTATAAAATATAGCTATATAGTAAAGCCTCTAAGAACTCTAATATATAAGGGAATCTTATATAAGTAAATAGATTAATATTAAAAAGGTTTTAATAAGCTAAAATAAGCTATATTTTCGGTACTAATTCTATATTACTATAATCCGAATTTCCTTACTATAATTAAAACAAATATATTAAACAAAGTTATAGCTAGTATTCTTTTATAATAAAACTTCTAGATAGAATTCTAGTATCTAGTAATATTTTTTTCTAAGACTATATAATTAGTAGAACTAAACTATAATATTTATAATAAAGAAATACTTGCTATTATTCTTTTCTTAACCGAATAATAAATAGAACTAGAAGGCTTATAAAAAGTATTCTTTATAATTTATTTAGACTATTAAGCTCTCGAATACTTTATAACTATAAAGAAATTCTCGATAAAATAAGCTTATTAGATAAAATATCTTTCTTACTATTATTTTAAACTTATATATTAGGCAAATAAGTTAAATAAATAAGCAAATACCCTAAATAAGAAATACAAGAATATAATTATCTAGAATAAGGTAATAATAGCCTACTGAACCAAAATTCTTCTTTTATAATAAAAGATTAATAATAATATTATATAGGATCTCTAGTTAGCTCTAATTAAGGCCTTTATAAGCCCGGCCTAAGAAGAAATCTAATATAATAATATCTAGCTTATAGATAAGTAGTATAAATAATAAATAGAATAGAATAGAATAGTAGCCCCTACTTATATTCTATTTATTAAAAATTCCTATTACTTATATTCTATTTATATTCTAATTAAGCTATTTATAAATATTTATAAATACTTTGAGTAGTGTGCACGTGATGCACGCACGTGACAGGCTAGCCTTATTAGGTAAAGCCCCGGGCACTCCCGCTCTAGCGCCACCTCGCTACCCAATTAAGTAGTGGCGGCGCTTGGTAAGCGAGCCGAACCTCTATAATACTTCTAGAATTACATCGACTTAAGAACTTAATAATAATAGCAATTCTATTAGTAAAAATTAGAAATTAGGAGACTAGAATCTTCGAAATAAGGGAACTCTTTCTAATTAGAAG